AATTATTTTTCATTATAAATGCACACAAATCAAATAATATGTGGACTGTTTTCCAATTTAATTTTTCTGATAACTTGTAAGTACCAATTTCCTAATTTATTTGAATTATTTTATTTTAAAAGGTTAAAATCAGAGTTAAAATAATTTTAAAATTATACATAAACTTTACAAAGACTTGTGTTACCTTTTCTAGAGATCCTTTTAACTTCGGACGATCTAGGTATGATTTATTTAGCACTGAGGTCATTATGTTTTACCGCTGAACTTTAATCCGATAGAATTTGAAATTTATCTAGAAAAAAAAGTTATTGAAAATATAATATAATACTACGTAGGTATAATATAAGTTCGTAGTCAGTAGCCACACACTATATAGATACTAGAACACTACAGATTATTTTGTATACTATAATATAGATTTATTGATTCTTATCCCAACCTTCTTAAATTATTTTTATACGAAGTGTTTATGCTTTTAGTTAAAATCTTGTAATACGTATAAAACATAATGTAGTATAGACATAGATAATAGATATAATAATAATATAGATAATCTATTATCTATGAGCACAGACTTCTATTCTACTGTAGCGAGCTGTGACTATTTCCTAAATAACTATTTAACAATATAAATCTCATTCTATAATAGACGCGCCACGTAAAAGTCAATAATAGTAATAATAATAATGTCGCTGGCACCATGTATACAGTACGTGTGTAGTGGAGCGACGACATCATATATACAGCGCGAAGCTAATAATGCTCATGACCATGAACGGCGCGCGGCAATAGATATATGACTACGTATATAAATAATTCTAAAATACTGTAGATTAGGATTTGTGCTGTTATATTAAATGACACCACAACTAGCCAGAACGAGGACCGTGTGACAATCCCACGATAGGCCTAACCGCAGGATGACCATGTATGATCATGTGAATCTGTGGAAAGGGACTGGACCGACCCATCGAGGAGAGCTGATGGACAAGCATTCATCAGACGAGCAACCAACCTCAACTTCAACAGTCACACTAAATACTCATAGTCACAACTCGCTTTTAGTTAATTATTTGGACTTAGAATAATTTCTATAAAACTGTTTTATATAATAAACACAATAAATACTATCAAAAGAGGTTTTGTTCAATTATTGCTTCCAAATCAACAAGTAACGCTGTAGGGCACGTTACAAATTGGCGCTGTGGACAGGGTGTCTCAAAAGATACTTAGAAGAAACCCGAAGAACACTTTAAAAAAATTTTTCGAAATTTTCGAAAAATTTTTTGAAAAATTTTCATCTTCTAAATTCGATCAAGGAGGGAAATCCATCACTGGATCACCGTTGGAAGACTGATCACCTGCCAACGACTCCGAGAAGAATCCTGTACAACTACATAACACTCTACTACAATCAACATTACAACCAAACAAATGGAAGCACCCGCAGTACCCGCCGTGTTGTTGTGAGTATTTAGAGTAACTAAATCGTTGTTCGTCTCCTATGGTATATTATATGACCATAGTATATATTATAAAGTGAAAAAATTATTCGTGTTAAATTAAATAAGGGAATTATCGAGAACTTTGAATTTTTCGTGTTAAATAAAATAAATTGTGAGGAACTTTAAAATTTTTTTAAAATAAAATAAAATTGTTCAACCTTAGATTTAAAATAATAATATAAAATAATAAAATAATATTTAATAAATATAATAAATTAATAATAAAATAAAATAATAATTAAATAATAATTAAATAAACTGAAGTTTTAATTTAAAATAATTTTTTTTATTTGTCTAATTAAATAATAATAAAAAAAATAATAACATATTGTAACTTAAAAATCTTAAACACTTTTAATTAAATAATATTTAAATAAAATAATTTAATAGTTGTTTGAAATTTATTTATTTTTTAAATTAAATAACATTGAATAGAGTAATAATTTTATTTTTACAATAACGTCGCGAGTTAGCAAATTTTTAAATATAATAAATAATAATTTAATTTCGTAGAAATTTTTCAATCATTTAAATAAGTCAAATAATAATTAAATTCTAAAATAAATTTCAATCGTTCGAATAAAATAGGAAAATTAATTTAATTTAAAAATAATTCTGCAATCATTAATAAATAAAATAACAATTTTAGTCATTTTAATCATTTAAATAAAATAAATAAAATTTTATTTTAAAATAATTTTCATTTAAATTAAATTAAATAATAGTTCTATTTAAAATAATTTCCAATCCTTTAAATAAAATAAAATAATAAAATAATTTAAATTTTTCCTAAACATTTTAATTAAAATAACTTAATAATTTTATTTTTCGGACTTTGAAATTAAATAACCATTAAATAAAATAATTTAATAGCTGTTCGGAACATTGAATTAAATAATAACGTAATAATTTATTAAGAAATAAATTTAATTTATTGGAAATAGAATAAAAATTAAATATTTTAGCGAATATATATATTCGAACAAAATTTTTATTTTTCAGATTGAGTTTAGTGATTGATTAATTATTAAATAAATATGAATACATAGTTTAAATTAATTAGGTTGAACAATTCATAAATCTTGAGTAATATTTGATTGAAATAGATCGTGTAATATTATAATAAATTGGGAATTATTATAAAAAAATATTTTAATTATTTTAAGACAGTTGAGTCTTTATTGTTGAATATATTGAGAATTTATTGGGAATTTTTATTTAAAGGCCGGGAAGTAAGTCCTTATATTTTGTGAATTTTATTGAGACAATTGATGTCTATATTTTATAATTTTATTTAAAAGGCCGGAAGTAAGTCCTTGTATTTTGTGAATTATTTTAGACAATTGTTGTCTGTATTGGGAAAATTTATTTTAAAGGCCGAGAAGTAAGTCCTTGTATTTGTTGAATTTATTTAAGACATTGATGTCTATGTTGATTTTATAGGCCGGAGGTAAGCCCTAAGTTTTTGTGAATTATTATGACAATTGAAGTCGAGTTATTGAATTTATATAGGCCGTGTGTAGTAAGTCCTTTTGTGTTATATTTTTTCCGACAAGTGAAGTCGAGGTTTTATTGAATTTATATAGGCCGTGTGTAGTAAGTCCTTTTGTGTTATATTTTTTCCGACAAGTGAAGTCGAGGTTTTATTGAATTTATTTACAGGCCGTGTGGTAAGTCCTGAGATTAGTGAAATTATTTGAAGACAGTGAGTCTATATTTTAATTATAATAAATATTATATATGTAAACTAACATTTATTATTATAACATTAAATATTATATTAATATTGTATTGGAACTATTGTATTTTAATCAATTAATTGTATTTAATCAATTGGAACTATTGTATTTTAATCAATTAATTTAATCGAATTACTAACAAATATTTTTATCTGTATTTCAATTTTATAATATATGTAACATTATTGTATCAATTTAATCAATTTTAATACTCTAGACGAGTAATAAAAAAAAAAAAAAAAAAATGTACTAAAAATTATCATGTAAATTGTCATAATAAGACAATGATTAATTATTTATATATTGTATCTGTAAACTCATGAAACATTTATGTAAACCAATTGTAAACTTTTATCTATGTAAAATTTTAAAGCTTTTTGTAGCCCTACAAAATTGTAGCCCCACAAAAACCTTTGAAAGGGCGGTGAGGTGTAGCGAGCTGTGACTATTTCCTAAATAACTATTTAACAATATAAATCTCATTCTATAATAGACGCGCCACGTAAAAGTCAATAATAGTAATAATAATAATGTCGCTGGCACCATGTATACAGTACGTGTGTAGTGGAGCGACGACATCATATATACAGCGCGAAGCTAATAATGCTCATGACCATGAACGGCGCGCGGCAATAGATATATGACTACGTATATAAATAATTCTAAAATACTGTAGATTAGGATTTGTGCTGTTATATTAAATGACACCACAACTAGCCAGAACGAGGACCGTGTGACAATCCCACGATAGGCCTAACCGCAGGATGACCATGTATGATCATGTGAATCTGTGGAAAGGGACTGGACCGACCCATCGAGGAGAGCTGATGGACAAGCATTCATCAGACGAGCAACCAACCTCAACTTCAACAGTCACACTAAATACTCATAGTCACAACTCGCTTTTAGTTAATTATTTGGACTTAGAATAATTTCTATAAAACTGTTTTATATAATAAACACAATAAATACTATCAAAAGAGGTTTTGTTCAATTATTGCTTCCAAATCAACAAGTAACGCTGTAGGGCACGTTACACTACACTAGATAAGGAACTCCTATACAATTTATATGGTTACAAGTGAAGCTCAGCTGTTTACGGCCACCATTTTGTCGGTTGGCAAAAAATTTCATTTATTATACAAAATGTATTAGGAATAATATTATTTTTAATGGTCAAATAAAATAGTAAAATGTAAAATTACTTATATAAGATATATATATTTTTTTTAAAACAACATGATTAAAAATAATAAAATATGATACAAAATAAATCATAATACCTATCATCTTAATTGACATATGAAATACCATACAATTGCCAACCAACTGAACCAACCTTGAATCTTCAATTCATGGCGGGAGTTCGCTATCTAGTACTATATAGAAATCAGCTGTGTCTAAGAGTATAGAAGTCTGTGGTCGAAGTCGAGTGACGTGTCGCCATGTTAACGGGCCTAACCTATAAAAAGTCCAAGTTTCTTATCCAGCTGTTTCTTACCTTTATCTTAGTCCGTGTTTCTTACTTATTGTGATTTGTGGCAGCCCGCCATCACATCATATTTTTTTATCTCTGACGGCACCAGTACTGTAAGGTGTAAGGCGTCGATCACTCCCCTCTCCGCAGCCCATCGTGTGACCGTGCTCTTCGTCCTCCCCTTACCGGTCGACCACTCTATCGTTCAGACGATTCTCCGACAATCATTTGAGACTTGAGTCAATTATTGATTTTACTCGTCCATTACACCTGACCAAAATGTCAATTAAAAAAAATAAACGATCAAAGGCTTTCAATCAAAGGAAAAAGGAATTGAGACAAGTACGTACCTATACTGCAGTTTATAATATACCTAGTGTGTACCTTCCACAAAGACGAGCGTACTGTTATCGTCGTCTCACCGTCACATGATAAATTATGTTTTAAATCACAATAATTAATTGATCATTGTGTAGTTAGAAATTGTGTCTAATTTTCTGCTAGGTACCTCTTGTTTATTTTAACTATTTTTTCCGTCCTCATTTTATAGAGACAGCCAGACAGCCCGACGATGCGAATGTACCGACAGCTCACTGAGGAATTTCGTGTGAGATACGAAAGTAGCATTCAGAAAATGGTAAACAAGCTTCTTAGTAATAAAGAACATGATCAACCTACAGTGGCTCCCAACTCAACGTCAGACACGATGGTGAAAACATCGGCACACTTGAATTTCAACTCTAACAAATATTTTGAAACTGACTCTCCAAAAAACGTGTTGGACATTACGAGACCCAGTAGAGACTCAAGTGCCAGTGATGATGACTGATGAGGGACCCAGTAAAATTGATTGAGTCAACCAAAAGACGTCTTCTCGAAGTATATTATTATATATACCTATTTCAGTTTAGATTGTTTCCTTGAAAATAAATGTTTATGACTAAATTAATCAGTTATAAAACTTCTATAACATTAGTTTTATTTTGTTTGTACATAATATTATGATAAAACTATTGTAAAAGTGCAATGGTAGTAGAACTATTTTATTTTTATTTCTTGCTCAAGTTTTCTACAAACAATGTAGATTTAGTTAAAATCAAAATATTAATTGTAATCTCAATATTTACAAACTCAAAACTTGTATTGAATATTATAATAAGCATTCAAAATTCTAGTACCAAATAAATATAAAATAATATAAACCTTATTAAATACTACCAGGAAATAACATGACTTACCTGTCAATATATTTTTGATATTTTTAAGCTATAGACTCAGCAAATCACATTTAAACATTAATCAATAAATAGAACATTTTTAATCAATTTTTTGGACTACCAAAGACATATTGATAATTATTTATACCTATAGTTATTATTAGGGCTCAAATTTGAAGGCAAACACTTTTTTTTTAATAATAATAGAAAAAAAAATTTTTGTGTTTTAAAAAGTAGTAATTCTAATATAGATGATTATTCATGAATTAAATAGGCATTAATAATGACTTCAGTGGACGTTTTCTATGTACAAAAATATTTTAAGTCCAAACCATAGATGTTTTTACAGAAAAATATATGGTAGATAATTTTTTTTTTTATAAACTTGCAAAATTTGTCATAAATATATTGCATTGCTTAGTTAATTTATTAATTGCTCTCTTATATACCTAAGGGCCGTTCTTACGATGCCCGGTTAAAGTTAACCGACACTTAACCGGAAGAATTCTGCCGGTAATAAAATCTGTTATCAGTCGGTTAGCGTTAACTGACACTTTACCGGACATTGTAAGAACAGCCCTAAATTAAATGCTTTTCATATTTCACTTTTTATATTGTATTGCTTTGTTGCCTTCAAATATAGCAACATTTTAGAATACATTTACAATAGGTACCTAATTAAAATATATATGTATTATAATATATTATATAATATGTATTCTATTATACAAAATGATAATTATTGAAAATAGTAAAAAATGTATAAAACTAAATTAATGAATATTGAAAAGAGCAAAGATTTTTATGCACAAAAAATTGTCAAAATATGCCATATAATACATGGTAAAAATATGCAACAAATACCTACACAGTGAGATTTTTGGTTTTTAATAAAATAACTGTTATTCATTTCTCATGAGCACTATAGGCAAAAAAATATTTTTAGATTTTAAAATAAAAATTAATGGAAAATGCAAGGCCCTTCAATCCACCTTGGGACAATAGTTATCCATTATCACAGTTTAAAGATAAAACTGATCTAAACCTACAACTTACTCCTTCTGATATCATTTTTAAAGTTCTAAAACTTAGACCTTTTTTGTATAAACACTATAAAACACGGAATAGTAAATACATTAAAACTGTTAATATTGTTAGTAATTACTAATTATAATGCTTGTAAATTACACAATAAAAATACCTGGGATTTTAAGGTCCTAAATAAAATGATTTTATGCCCTAAAAATTCCGAACAATGCCCAAAAAAATGCATTTTTTTATTTTTAACAATTTTGTTATATATTTTAATATAAATTTGGTGTACCTACCTAACTGTCTACATATTATCATTGTGATGAAATTACAGCTATGTGTATGACTGCTATAGCAGTTGTGTCCATTAATGTGTTAATAAAAGCTCATTTAATATAAGTGCAGTGCGATAAAGGAAGAATAGCAATATACAGAAAATATTTAATAATGAAATAATTGCATTTATATATTAGAACATTGTATTTATAGGTAGGTACATTTTACTTATTAAAATACAAAATCTTTAAAATAACCTTAACAAGACATATAATTATACATTTATACAGGGTGTATCTTATGTCTTTGTAGGCGGGGTTTTTTTTTTAATGATAATGGAATGATAATATGGAATTTCGTTAAAATGAAAAAAATAAGTGTTTCTTTATTTTTAACAGGCAAATTTTTTATGGAAATTTCAACACTTTTAAACACTCGGGTGTACCTGTTGACGTTTAAAGATATACAGAAGTAGTTAAAGGTAAATAATAATAAGATCAGATATATATAATATAATAATAATTATAATTATACGATGTACAATAGTGTTACAAGGGGTATATTGATTTATATTCAAGTCATATAAATCAACGACTGACTATGTATACCCGGCTACACTACACAAGACATATATGCAGTAGTGTTATAAAAATGTATAGTCAGCGTCTGCTGAACTACAGTGTGAATATATTACTTATGCACTACATTATATAGACTGTTTCTTATAACTACCTTTTGATACACTTAACTAGTTGAATCGGCAATCTAAGGATACGCTAAAAAAAAAAAAAAATAATAATAAACAAACAAACACAAAATAGTTCATTATTTTTATTTTATTAAAACTGAACTAAATTAACCATAAAATATTGTATGCTATACGGCCTTTACATTTAAATGTATGGCCAAGTACACCTCTGTAGTTCACAAATCCACAGCTCGTTTCTAAAAAGTTATACAGCGGAGCATAGAGCGAGTTACAACCTATGTAGATAACCTTGATACAAACAAACTAAAACAACAATCTAGTATATGTAAGTCAAATCACATTTACTATAATACAATTAACTTGAAACAAACAAATATGTAACATTCAATGATATCTTTGTTTGACAGGCTTCTAATAAAGTGCTAATCACCTGGCATCTTATTTAACAAAAATATATTATAATTCTTTATATCAAATGTATGTATTTATATTTGTATGAATCAATTTATATTCATGTTAAATGAATAATTTTAAATTTTAAATTAATACCTAGGTAATTAATTAACCGATAATGAAAAATATCAAGGCTGTGCATTAACAAGTTTATAAGTTATGTTACTTTTAACTAAGCTACATAGGTAACTAGTTAACTTTTCTATTTAAACTTTAAAGTAACTCCTAACTTACAGAATTACATTTATTTCCATGTTATGCATCAACTTAAGAGTTAATTAATTTTTTTCCTAAAACCATATATTTAACGTAATATAATATTATGTTTTGTAAAAATTAAATTTATAAAAAAATAATAATAATCGAAAATATAAAATATTATTTATAACTAATATAATATGTAATAAATAAAAATATATAAAAATGGTTATAATATTCACATAATGTATATTATGTCACGGGCCACGAGCTCTACAAATTCATTTAGGCAATCATAACGAATGTATAGAATACATTAACGTATGATTAATAGTTTACCTTTGACAATGTACTAACTATGACTTTCCTCAACCACAAATAAAAGGACACATGCAAAACATGCAAGTTGTCGTTATTAAAGGAGCCGACATCATATATAAGATCAACTCTGAACATTGCCCTGTGCGGTTGTATTTTGTCAACATTTGTCTCTTGAAGTATTATTCACGGATCATATAGCTCATTAAAATGACTACAGAGAATGTAAAATGTTATGAAACTTTAACTTATAATGAAGATACCTTAGAATGTCGCAATTGCCAAAATAAGGTTCACTTCTATTGCATTGGAGTAACTGAAACTAGCTTTAAGAAAATGTCAAAAAACTCAAATTCAAGACTTACATACCAGACATATCTTGGCCCTGCCACAAAATCGACTAATGAAACTTCAAATAAATTTGAGAAGATGGAAGAGCTCTTCAAGTCAGTCACTTGTATGGGTCTGCATTTCGATGAATTTAACAAAAAAATGGAAGCGGCATTATTGGAAATGAATCCCTTAAGGACAGAAAATGAGAAAATAAAAACAGAAAACATAAGGTTAACAAACAAAATAGTTGAAATAAAACAAAAACATGATAAAATTTAGCAAACTAATATAACTAACAATAGACATCGCCAAAAAAATAAATACTACTATAAATGTGTTAGAAGCATCAAGGTTGAATTTAATTGGTAATCAACCATCAATAATAATTGCTAAACTAGAAACTTATAAGAACTACTAAATCACAGAAATTAAATGCAAATATTGCATTGGTTGGAAATCAGAAAATAAAATCTATATCAACAAATGTTTAGCTAAGAATAAACAAATTCTCTAATCGAAAGCAAGAGCTACCGGTAAAGAACATAAATACAAATTCATAAAATGGGTATCAAACACGGATATCATGATAAGAAAAGACGAAAACTCAAAAATCAGTAGTTTACGACCCCACAACGACATTGCACGCATGTAATTTCACCTCTATTTTACACAGTTGTAACAATTCGTTAACATTCGCAAACATAAATTTTTGTGTATTATAGTATCAAACTTATCAATGAACCCCTATAACATTCATTACTGCTATTTATCAGATTTATATTATATATTATATTATAATCTAATTATTATGCATTATTTAAGCATTTAAATACAGATACAAATACATCAATTCAGAAAGTATTTAAAATACATTTCAAATACTTTTAAGAATAAGTATTTAAGAACAAATACAAATAATTTTCATGTATTTAAATACTTTTTTAATTTCACCTAACATAAGTAGGTTTTAAAAAATAATTTTGTTATTATAAATTTAAAATAGTGTGATGTTACCTACATCAAACTAGGTATTATTAGAACTTTTTGTACCTACTTCATACATTTAAACTGAAAAATAAATTTCAATAAAACTTGTTATATAATAATTTTGAAATAATTTATTATTAGGTACCTAACTAAACACTTGTTAATAAAATCAGAAATTAATTTAATTATTTTACTATTTAAGCAATTATTAATTTAAGAGATGTTAGAGATGTATTCAATTTTAAAAAACTGATATCAATTGATTAACAAGCGTATTGGGTTCTTACTTCCTATAGAAGTTCAGAAGTCGGTTATGATTATTTCTAATAATCATAAACAAGACATCACCAATAGGGGTACATTTACTCAAATACTTTACCAGACTGTAAACTAACAAATATATTTCCAAACGTATACATGGTTGTTTTATAATAATCTTTTACATTAGGTACCCTTACCTGTTGGAAGTTATTTACTGTAACTTAGAACGTATAGGTATTTTCTAGATTAAAACTTATTACCTAAAGAAAATTTATATTGGTTGGAAAATGGAAGAAAGAGAGTTTAAAAATAAAACAATAAAATAAAAGTGGCTGGTAATTTTTTGTGACAGGTTTCAATAAAGGGTAGGTGCGTGGTGATCCTTGCCATAGGTACATATAATTTTGTACTTCGGTGCTACTGGACTAGTACTTACGCTAATACCTACCTTATTATATAAGATAATATCATTGTTATTTATTATATAGTATATAATATTATACTTCAACTTACATGTAAACATTATTTATTCATTAAGAAGTCTTGATGAATTACAAACACAATAAAAATAAAGGTTTTCAAAATAAATTGTATTTTTATTTTCAAATTTGTTTCATAAAATTATGCAAACAACGTAAATAAGCGAGTAGAAAAAATTAAGTGAATGTATTAGGACATATTCAGTACCTACTGTTTATTTTAAAATTTCCATTCGAATGTCTAGTACTCTAGTGTCTACTAATAACCATAATATTCTACAAAATTATTAAAGTCACCAAAAATTATATTATATAGGTACCATACAACTACTAGGTAGGTACATACATTAACTTGATAAAAAAAAAAAGGCAAAGGCCATCTAATCACAATATTATTATAACACATTCTTAACAATTTTGGTAACGGATTGCTACAGCAACTATGACAATCAACTGTATCAACTAAATAAATATACCGAATATAATATTATATTACTCCGAAAGTACTAATCACGAATAATATTAGTATCTTAATATTATTCATAGTCCGAATTTAAAATGTCACGAAATAATATTAAACTACTCCTATATTTTATCATTAAATATTGATGATGCTTGTCAACAAGTTGTTGTCAATAACTCACTGTTATCATTATTGCTCAGATCACCGCGTGCCAATATATATACAATATATATATGTATTATATATAATACATATACAATTCATAATACAATATAATATATATAATACGCACAATATGCGTATTCACGTATATTATATTATTAACACTCAGCAGGTCCTAAAATTAAGATATTTTGCTACTGCACACCTTATTCCACATCAAAATATTTTAATATAATGCACCTGGTAGTGCACATGCCACATGCCACATATAACTTCATTGCATAATTGTTTTTGTTATTCATTAATAATTAGTTATAATAAATACAATCTAAAACAATCTTCTATATAATTCCTTGATACCTATATGGCTATATGACTGAACATTTTAAAATTAAAAACGAAATAGCTTAGGTTAATATAATTATTATATTATAAGCCGCCCAGAATATGATGTAGTAGGTATTATTTTTAGTGTTAAGGATTTTAACGAATAAAATATTATGCTAATTACCAATTTTCAATAATCAATATTGAATATTAATCAAATAAAAATGTATAAAACCAAAAATGAGTACTGCACACTTTTAAATTTGATACTGCACATTTAATATTAGCTACTGCACATAGTGTGTCTGACAGTGACTTAAATCATAACAATAAACTATGGATGGATCACAGATAGATATATAAACAACGTATGTTTATATATCTATGGGATGGATCAATGTCCATATTCTCACCCGTAAAAACAATTTAACAAATACGATAATATTATACGTGACGAGCCAGTAGCCACTGCCTTGATGTGCGCATATATGAGGCAAACCGTTACATAATTAGCTGGCGGTGACCGATTTATTTATAATTATAATACTAATATTATTTGGGTAAATAAGGTAAATAAGTTGATGTATTGAAGAAAAATAGATTTTGAATTAAAAGGCAGTGGACGACCTTATTGAATAAAAATAGTGGACGTCAAGAATTCGGAATAAAATTAATTGTAAGGCTAGCCTAGAATAAGTATAGTAATAAGATATAATAAAAATAATACATTTTTGTGTGATAAATTGAATCGTTAAAAATAATAAATTCGTTTAATAGAATTATATAAGAAAAAGGTAGGTAGTTGAATATTGTAATAGGATTGCTGGCTTAGCTACCCAGCAGTAATAGTTTAATAATATTGAAACGCGTTACTCGTAAAAAGATCGCGGCGAACCTCCAATCGCGTAATAATTTACGTAAAATACGTGCGTTGTATAGCAGTGATTTGATAAGCCTATAACGCGTTAAGCGTAGTCAAATCTACGTTATGTGTTAGTAGGTACACAGTATATTAACTCGCGGCGTGCGTGAATAAATACAAACGTACAATTCGTGTACACGGGAATAGATGCATATACATTTAACAAAATAAATATTATATTAAATAAATTAAATGAAAATTAGTAGATTTTGAATAATGTTAATAAACATTAGGTAGGTATGTATGAATATACAGAATCAGATAGTTCAGATATTGAAACTATAGTTCTGCGGACAGTTCCGTACAAAAAGTAAAAGTTAAGAAATATAAAATTAAGAAAGAATTACATATGCGGCAATAATAAAAGACACTATAAAGAAAGGATTTATAGAACAAACAGGGAAACAAATAGTTAGGGCTGTTAGGGAAAATTTTTTAAGAACACTTAGTTTAACAGACCAAATAGATATCACGCCACGAAAAAGTGAACAATTCGTAGGTCGTTCAGATATACTAGGTCAGACTCAAGCGTTATTCACGTGCAATTAGAAACAGTAGTTAAAAACAAGTAATAAACGCGAAAAATAAAATGGATCTTGACAAAGCAATACCAATGATACCGGTTTGCACGGGAAAGAAAGACGTCGCAAAATTTATAAATATCTGTGAGATCGCACTTAAAGATATTGCGGACGCGGATAAACCATTGTTATTGAAAATAATAACTTCAAAGTTGACAGGGAATGCTTTAGAAGTAACGAAATATCGGAATTTAGAAACATGTAGATCAATAAAATCATTATTAGAGGGGGCATTCGAAAAGAAATTGTCGGAGGGCCCTATCAGTAGTGTTAAACACGTATGGCCGAAGGAGAAAGTGAGTTGCAATTCGCTAGTAAAATCGAAGAATTATACTATAAACTCTGCGCGGCTAGTGCAATGAGACTTTTGAATATGATCATCAACTGATCAAATTAATAGAAATCTCAATAAGAAAATATTATACGAATAAAATCTTGTTAATTTAGGGCCGATTTCACCAACACAGTTAATCACGATTAACGTTAACCGGAGTTTTAATCGGCCGAATTTGGCCGGTTAAATATCTGTTATCAGCCGATTAAGCGTTAACCGTAATTAACTGTGTTGGTGAAATCGGCCCTTAGTCAATAGCGTGAATTGATACTTTGATTAAATAGCACAATGAGATAGATAGGGGATTGCAATTAACCCGATAAAAATTAAAAACAAATACAACGATACCGTAAAATAAAATCATTTTAACGCTGGACTGGACCAGAAATACAACTTTGATTGAGTAGTTTATTGCTGGTCTGGACCTGTGGTAAAATAGATAAAAACGAGTGATAATTAGAAAGAATATTTTAGATAGGGGTAAATTATGGGAAATATAGTATATATAATATATATATTATAAACAGAAATAAAAAATGAAAAAAAAAGGAAAATGTAGGTATAAAATTGTATAAGAATAATAAAGGATAAAAGTAAAACTATAGTAATACATAAAGGAACTATAATTTGTATTATTAACATGGTGTTGGAGAAATACATAATAATATGTATACATTGCATGAAAAAAAGATATAATGTAATAGGCTAAAGAATGTATATTATGTTAACAGACTAACACTAAGATATTATAATTGTGAAAAAAAAATAATAAAAAGAAATAATTGTTAAATATAGAGAATACTAACCATAAACAATAATTAAATGTATATTGTAATAACCTAACAGTAAATGAAATGTCAATGTTGTAAACATATATAATAAAAAAATATATTGTGGATTGTACTTTATATTTTTGACAATAATATTGTTCTTTGTATTTTGGTAAATAATAATGTACCTAGGTATCTAAATCATATAATTGTAAACAAACATATGTAAACATAAAATGTAATAATAATTGATGTATGTAAAATTTAAACTATATTAATAGGTGCTTGAAGTAACAGAAAGTAACAGGAAGTTAAATTGAGTTAATTTTTCTCGTTTAGACGATAAAAATGAACTTTTAAAGGGGG